CTCTTGATAAAAGATAAAAGAACAGATTTCTTATTTCATAATCGATAAACTGATCGTACATTCTGGCCAGACTGCTAATAAATAGAGTTCAAGATCTCCCACAACCCCTAACTTATCAAACAAGTAAATAAAATATCTTCTAACCACCTAAGTTTGTGGAAGCTTGCAAATACACAATTGAACTTCAGCAGCGCTTATTACCCGCAGACGGACGGGCAAACTGAGGTCGTTAATCGCTCGCTCGGTAGTCTATTGCGGTATTTAGTTGGAGAAAATTTGAAGAGTTGGGACCATAAACTTAGTCAGGCCGAATTCGCACATAACTCGGCCGTAAGTCGGACCACCGGTTTCTCGCCATTTGAGGTGGTGTATTCCGTGTCCTCGAGTGGCTGCCGATCTGCTACCTCTGCCACCTTCAGTCACGCCCAATCGGAAAGCTACAGAGCTGATCGAAGGACTCCAGCAGACTCACGCTGCCGCGCGGAAGAACTTGGAGGCGGCCACCGTGATTTACAAACGCCGTGCTGATGCGAGGCGTCGTCACGTCGAATTTGAAGTTGGCGACTTCGTGTGGGCTGTCCTCACTAAAGACCGATTCCCAGCTCACGAATATTACAAGTTAGCGGCTCACAAAATTGGTCCCGTGGAAGTGGTCGAAAAAATAAATCCGAATGCCTACCGTTTGAAGTTGCCGTCCCATGTGCGTACGTCCGACGTTTTTAACGTCAAACATCTCGCCCCGTTTTTGGGTGATAATTCGGACGGGGATAAGATCGAGTCGGATTCGATGGCGAATCCTCCTCAACCGGGGGAGGATGAAGGGGATGAGCTCGCTATGGCTTTCTTGGACAAGTTTGATCGTTTACCGGCTCTTATATGATTTATTATTCTATTTCCATATTATTTTCTATTATGTTATCTAGTCCTTTTTGTTATCTTTTGAAAATAAATTTCTAGGATAGCAAGTGAAGTAACCTAGGTTACTCAAACTCTTTATCTCTTTATTTATATCTGCCTTGTATTTTTGAACGAGTCAAATTATGAAATGAATAAGAAAACATTTATGGTCTCTGCGTGAGATTTACATTTCGTCTCTCTTTCGTACGCTATGCTGCACCAGCTGGTATCAACTGATGTAGGGAAGCGTACGAATGAGAAGAATAAAACGAGATACTCTCTCGATAAAACACAAAAGAACAGATTTCTTATTTCATAATCGATAAACTGATCGTACATTCTGGCCAGACTGCTAATAAATAGAGTTCAAGATCTCCCACAATCCCTAACTTATCAAACAAGTAAATAAAATATCTTCTAACCACCTAATCAAGATAAATAAGAGATAACAATAATAATAATAATAATAATAATAATAATAATAATAATAATAATAATAATAATAATAATAATAATAATAATAATAATGATAATAATAATGATAATAATAATAATAATAACTATTATTCTGCACCAAAGAGGCAAAGGCTTAGGGTGTGATTAAGTTAAGACGTGTCGGGGGTAGAAAACCCCGATAACATAATGATCCAACCATGTCCCCAGGCCGGAGGGGGGTGTAGGAACACGCTGAAGTCCAAACAGGGAGGATGACGCCAAAATAGTCATATAGTCAGTCGCAAAATTAGCTTTCTCGATGGAAGGCCTCGTCGCTCTCGTTGGCGGGTCGGGTCACTCTTGCGCAGTCAGTGCTTGCTTCCTTTCCTTACTTTTCCATGCAAACGGTGTCTCTTCCCCATGGAGTTTGTGATAGCTTGGAACGAAAGTGCCGCAACTTTAATTGGGGTGGCACGGGTTCTACTCGGAAGGTTAGTCTTGTATCCTGGTCCGAGGTCTGCCGCCCTAAGGTGGCCGGGGGCCTGGGTATGCGCGAACAACGGTTGATGAACAAGGCTTTGTTGATGAAACTAGCATGGACTTTCCTCTCCAAACCGGATTTGTTGTGGAGTCGTGTGCATCGGGAGAAATATAATTTGCAACCTAATGAGATGAGCGAGGACTATGAGTTTCCCCACGGTTCGAGTGTGTTGCGTGCTATTCGGGATGCCTGGCCGGAGGTGGTGGCGGGTAGCAGGTGGTCTTTGGGTGATGGGCGGCGTGCCCGATTTTGGTGGGATCGATGGTTGCCTCTTCGTAAGCCGTTGATCACCGCTGCTACTGGCCCGATTCCTGAGGACCAACTTCAAGCCCCGGTATGTGCGTATGTGACATTGGATGGCCAATGGAATTGGCCGCTTTTTCAAGGGAGGCTACCGGCGGCGTGTCTTCTCCGCATTGTGGCTATTCCGCCGCCTAGTGTTTCTGGGGGGGTTGATAGGCTATACTGGGGCTGGTCGGAGGATGGCAGGTTCACCACGCGCTCGGCCTATCGATGCTTTGGTGCCGCCGGATACAAGCTGCGTCGATGCCCTTTGGCGAGTAGTTTGGCGGTGGTCGGGCCCACAGCGAATCCGAGTGTTTTTATGGCTGGTAGCTCGGCAGAGTTTGTTGACCAATGAGAACTGAGTGAGGCGTCACATGGCCTCTAACTCTTCGTGCCCGGTCTGTTCGTTGGAGGTCGAAACTGAGCTGCATGTTCTACGCGATTGTGCAGCCGCGTCTTCGACATGGAGACGCCTTATTCCGCGAGCGAAATGGGGGACTTTCTGCTCTTTGCAATTACGGGACTGGCTTTTGCATAATTTGACAGGTCGTTTCAGTCCGGAGGTTGATGATTGGCCTACTGTTTTCGGTCTCACTGTGTGGCGTCTATGGAAATGGAGGAATCTCATGGTATTCGAAGGTTTGGAGACCACCGTGAATCAAAGAGTTCGTGAGGTTCTATCTTGGTCGGGTCGGGTACGTGGCGCATTAGATGGCTGTCAGAAGGTTGGCGCGTGTGTTCAGCGCGAATTGAGGTGGCTCACATGGGCTGCTCCGCCGGAGGGGGTTTTGAAGATTAATACAGATGGTAGTTTTGTCCCGACCACGGGGATGGCTAGTGCTGGGGGAGTTGTACGTGATCATTGTGGGGCCTAGGTGAGTGGATTTACGATGAATATTGGCTTTTGCTCTATCGTGGGGGCTGAACTATGAGGTTTGTTCCAGGGATTGCAGCTAGCATGGGATATAGGTGCTCGTAGAATCGTGGCGGAAGTCGACAACAAAAGCATTATTGAGATGGTTGTTGGCGAGGAATGCACCGGGCCGCATGGTAGCCTTATTAGGGGCATTAAAGAGTTGATGGCGCGTCCGTGGGATATCGAGATT